AAACATAGAAACACATCTTGCACCTCATCCGTGGAAATCAAAAGCCATCAATGCACAACTAATACCAAGCCATCAAGAAGTACACACAAAAGCACTAAACTAAGGTTTCTGCGTTAGAGTCCAATACCAATAGCCAAGAAGTACTCATAACAATATAATAAAAGCAGTGCAAGTAATAACTCAAAGATATTAGGTTTAGCTCGTTCATAGTTACACACAACATCCATGCTTTTCAGTTATAACAGTAAAACTCAAATCTTTCACCGAAATTACTAAAATATGAGTATATTAAAAGACTATGATTTTTCCCAAAACGTTCAACAACAGATATGATATTTTATTATTAGATAGCATTAGGAAAGTACATCTCTATTCATAAATGTCAATATGTATGTCAAGTCATGAATGTCACAATACCTTATAGCATGAGGAAATGCATCTCTATGCCTACATGCCAAGTATGCATGTCTAATGTAATGCATCATAGTTATAATCCCACACTCTTAGAGAACTCAATCTCATTGTCTCACACTCCCACACATCACACTCAATCACTCGACATTGTATGGTACCTGCGGTCACTACTGGTATGTCAAACTCTGAAGGGGCAGATCCTGCCCAAGCGCTAATATAAGGTCAATATGGCATGTTGCAGTGTGCATCCCGATCTAATAAATAATAATAAATCTTATAAGGCCAGCTGTGGCATGCAACCCGATCCCATAAATAACACTCACAATACGGCTCTCAAGCCCACCCCAATCATCAATCTCTCAAGTCTTAAGGGCTCACAATCTCGTACCACTCAGCCCAAACAATGATAACATGTGATGTAACAATGAATGATGAACAGAGACTAAGATATGATATGGAAATGTAGAATCACGACTGAGTATATAAATAAATTTAGAACAGACAACTCAAAACAACAGAAATAGCCTCATTAGGTCTCAACCGAATAAGCATATATGCTAAACATGATTTCTAACCGAATAAGAATGCCCACACGCTCGTCACCTAATGTGCGCATCACCTTAATGCATCTCGTATAACATAGTCCCAAGGTTAAATACCATCAAATTCAAGTATACATATGTTACTTACCTCGACCAAGCCAAATCCAATACTGAGAAAGCTAAACAACACTCTAGAAATTCCATCCCGTGCGCAGGAACTTTCGAACGGCTCAAAACTAACCAAAAGCAACTCAAATACATCAAATGATGTCTAAGGAAACAATCCCGAATGATAAAGGTCGAATCTTTACACACTTACGCAAAGTCAACTAAATAGTCAAATCGGGCCAGCATCTCGAAACTCAAAAAACTCACAAAATCCGACAACCCATTCAATTATGAGTCCAACCATACTTATTTCACTCAAGTCCGACTCTGAATCGATGTTCAAACCTCAAAAATTAACTTTAGGAAAGTTTAGACAAAACCCCTAGTTTCTCTTTAAACTTCATTAGCCAAATGCCAAAAATGAAGATGGAATCACGAAATGAAATCAATACCGAGTATAAAATACTTGCCCCAATCCATATGGTGAAAATCTTCCAAATACGAGCTCCATAGGTCAAAATATGATAAAATGACCAAGACCTTCAAAACAGAGTACTTTATACACTATTCCAGAGGTACCCTTTCCGATCGCGGTCACCAACCTCGCAATCGCCATTCAAAAATTCTACAACACACATTTTAACCTTCGTGATCGCGGCCATCTTCCCACAATCGCGATGAACAAATTTCCATTACCCTTCCCAAAATCTTCTCGGACAGCCTATAGTATATCAGCCTTAAGTTTTTGTACAAAACTCCAAATGCCAAACAATTTAATTTTCTTGAAACTAGACACAAAGGGCTACAACTGTAACTTTTAGATCATCTCCAATATCATTATAGATTGCAAGATATAAACTTCCAAAACCGGGTTAGTGATAGCAAAATTTTCTTCTATGCGATCGCGAAAAGTCTTTTACGATCGCGATTCACGATGCCCAAAACAGCAATTTGATCTTCGCGAACTTGACCTAAAGTCCGTCATCGTGATACTTACCCCTGTAGCCAAAAAGCAGAAACTAAAAATGTCCTACAAATGGTCTGAAACCACCTCAAAACTCAGCCGAGCCCCTCAGGATCACGTCCGAACATACCAACAAGTCTCAAAACATATTATAAACCTACTAGAGGCCTCAAATCACACACATTAACATCAAAATTACGAATCGACAATCAAGATCAACTCAATAAACTTTTGAATTTCAACTTCCAAAACTCGTGCTGAACCATATCAAATCCACTTGGAATGAACTCAAAATTTGCACACAAGTACAAAATGACATAACAAATCTATTCTAATTATCGGAACCAAAATCGGAACCCGATATCATCAAAGTCAACTCCCAGTAAAACCTATGAACTTTCCAAAGCTTCAAATTGCCAACTTTTACCAAAAAGTGCAGAAACCTTCTAGAAATACCTGAATGCAAATCCTGGCATATGTCCAAGTCCAAAATCGCTATCGAGACCTAACGAAACCATCAAAACTCCATTTTTTGGTCAAGTACATATAAGGTAAACTTGGTCAACTCTTCTAACTTAAAGCTTGAATTCATTCTTCCAAACTAATTCTGAATCACCCGAATACCGAAACTGATGATACACACAAGTCATAATACATCATATGAAGCTACTCAAGACTTCAAAGTGCTTAATAAAATGCAATCTTAAAATGATAGGTCGGGTCGTTACATGCTCCAGCCATGATCTGTTTTTCTATGAGGAGTAAACTTATTCGATGACCAAAACCCTTTGCTATTACGACCTACACTTCTTTCATACGACAAAAATCGACCCCTATAGGACTGCCGATCCACATCAAAGTCGCTTTTAAACTTGTCTTGGTTGTTATCTCGATCTCATCCCTTAGTTGATACTGGGAACCCGAGCTGATCGTCTCCTATCCTTATTTTTAACTCATAACGGTTATGGACATCTGCCCATGTGGTTGATTGAAACTCGAGTAAGTTGTTCGTCAGCTTTCGAGAGGCGTCGGAGCTCCACATATTTAGACCCTTTTGTGAACGCCTCCAGTGCCCACTCATCTGGTACCGCCAAAACAACATCCTCTTTTTCTTGAACTAGATCATGAATTTTCGTAGGAGTTCGGACTCGCCTTGCGTAATCCTGGATATGTCCACCTTTCTGGCTTGAACCTTCCTTACTCCAGCGTGTGCCTTAATGAACAAGTCTGCAAGCATCTCAAAAGAGTCGATTGAATGCTCGGGTAAGAGAGATACCATGTCAGGGCCCCCTTATGAAGGTTTCACCAAACTTCTTCAATAAGACCGACTCGATCTCATGTTTAGCCAAATCGTTCCCTTTCATAGCTATGGTATAGGTTGTGATGTCCTCATATAGATCCGAAGTCCCATCGTATTTTGGTATGTCCGGCATCTTAAACCTTTTTGAAATTAATTTTGGTGATGCGCTCGGTTAAAATGGCAATTGCATGAATTTTTTCGAATCTGGGCCTTTTAGTATTAGTGGCGCACCTAGAATCTGATCTATTCGCTCGTTCATTTCCCTCATAAACCTCATGAGCTCAGTTTTGAAGGGATCATTTCCGTTGTTATTTCCGGATCCATTGTCGGTCCTTCCAGCTTCGTCAAAAATGACTTCAACCCTTGGAGTATTGTTATCAACCCTCTAAGCCGTTTGGTTTGCAGAAACACTGGGAGGAATTGGGCCCCTTTCATTCGCATTATTGGAGGCGCCTAAAAAAGCTTGTTTTAACTCCGTCATCACTTGATCATGCCTTGAGAGGTTCTTCATGATTGCTTTCTGCTTTTCTCTTAAGGTTTTAAGTTTCCACTACATGTTCCTCCTCCGCACATCGGGTGTTGGTTCCTGCACATGCCGATGATACTGGCCATCTTGAACCAGAGTCATTTCATCACCTTCATTGCGAGTCTTGCTGATTGAGTCATCATGTTGGGACAATTCTTCGTGCCCCTCAACGTTATGTGTAATCTTGACATTATTAACTGTCATATATTTTTTCAGTAAGGAATGAATCAAAACAAGTTAGCAATAAACGTTAGAATCAAAGCAATTATGCAACTGTCTAAGCCCCACGATGGGTGCCAAATTATTTACCTATAAAACGATATAGTTAAATTTGTTACGTGATTTATAGACAAACGAACTGATTTGATCCAAAAACGATAAAGAGATAAGGTTAAAATTATGATTATCAATTGAAATTGAAGAAGATGACAAGCCTAGCTCCGAATGCAATGCTTCTGAGGAAAAAAGTGAAAGTAACGATAAGGTGCAAATAAAGCTGTTTAATTGAGAGCAAAAGTAATAAAATAAAGTTTTTGTGCAGAAAATTTCGTGTCCTTACAATGGTTGTTGAGCCTACTATTTATAGATTTACCTAAGGAAACAAGATCGTAGGATCAAGCTCCTCTTATATGATAATAAAGGGGTCATTGATGAACGCGTAATGGCAGACCATGAATGCAAATATTTTCTGCAACGGTCGCTCATTTAATGTTAGTAAATATTCCATTATTGAATGCTATCCGATGACAAACCCTTGATCTTCTCCTGTCATCTATGCTCCCTTCGGGATTTATCCGATATCGATTACATTCGTTGTATTCGGAATTGGTTATTTCCTCACTTGCCCTTTGCTTATTTTCGATTCCACGTGTCAAGTTACCATTCAACCATTTGTTATAAATTAATTTTACCCCATACAGATATAAATATAAATTATTATTGTAAAAGCAAAATTAACATTTTAATCCGTATGTAACGTAACATCTTAGATAAAATAAAGTGGATGGTGTAGTTTTTTATTTTATTTTAAAAAACTTAATAATGCAAGCCGGAATAAGCTTGGAAGTCGCGACTTACAGTTGGAATGGTGCTACACCAACGTATTTTCCAATTTGGACGTAACAATAATAATACGCTATGATGCATACTCTGTAGCCGCTGGTCATGGTTTTGTGAGATCGTGTGCTTTGCGCGCATCTCTCCTTCCCATATAATCCCCTTTCCTAGTTCTAGTTTCTTCTACCATCCCCTTTTAGCTTTTACCCAAATATCTTCTCGCCTGCCAGATTCCCCCACCAATGCCATTCTCCTCTCGGTTCCCAGTTTTGGCAAAGACTTTGCTGCAGAAACACCATTCGATTTCTCTATACGGTTTGGCCAAAGTCTCATCAACCTGGCGTACTCTGTCTTGAGGAGGTATATATAAAATCACAAATATCCATCATTTATATATCTTTTATTTTATAATGATGGTGTATAAGGCATCACCTTGACTAATTCCACCGTATTCTGCTACATCTCCACCACATATATCCAACAGTTTTGCCCACCAAGGCTCGGGCAGAAGTTTTCTTTTCTTTTTCGGGTTTTGTTCGTAATATAGGAAAATTAAATTTTCGATACTCTACCTTTTTTTGTGTTTTTTTTTTTTGGGTTCCTTTTAAAAGATTTGTATGTTGAACCATTGATATTATGGATCTTTGTCTTTTCTCTATCTGTGGTAGGTTTGTCTTGTTTTACAAACCCATATTTGTTAACAATTTAAGTAATCTAAACAAAGAAGCTGTAAGGTTGCTCGAATAAGGAGAATCAATCTCCTTATAAAATTCAACATAACTCAATACTTTGTTTGAATGCAATTTTACTTCTTCATATAAATAATATATGCATAACAAATCTATGCATTATGTTTATATAGAATAGAATATAAAGTAGTAATAACATATTAAGTAAAATAACCCTTCGGGGTTGTACAATTGGGGGTTGTACGGTTGATTGGAGGCCATACGGATGGCCTGGGATCGAATTACCCCTATGCCTTCTGGGTTGAGCCTGTCGCACAAGGCTTGCCTAGTGCGGTTTACATCCCCTGTCTGATTTGCAGCCTATTACACAGGGAAAGGTTTATCCAGTGCGCACAAAGTGTTCACCTGAAGGACATTTTGCAAATACAAATTTGATGAGGTTCTGAAATTCTCTAAGTTATTTTGGGGTTCTGACGGTGGATTTGTTTTTCAACTTTCATGGATGAGCAGAGGAAGTTTAGGTGAAGATTCTGGAGAGAAGCAGCAGAATCTAACACTCTGGCCAATAATACTCCAGTGAAGTCCTTTTCCCATTTGGTATGGGCAACGGCAGAGGCGAGAAGAAGAACAAGCCTTGGAATTGCATTATATTATTATTTTCCTGCGTCTTCATTGTTCTTGAATTGGGCATTGCTTTGGCGCCTGCCTATTGATTACGGCTAATATTCCACCCAATGTAGAAAGTTCTTTTTTTTTTTTTATCAAACACCCATTCTTTTGTAGTCCACTTGAAGCTCAGTTTTCCAGATGTAAATTGAACGGTTTCAAAGCGTGAAATAGAGGAAAAGAAACTGCAAAAGAAATGGCAAATTGTAGCTGCTTTGGTGGTCTTGTAGGAAGAAACAAGTAGTATAAGGCAAGTATATTATTATGTTTAATATGTTATTACTACAGTTCTCTTTTTCTTTTATTGTCGGTGCAAAAGCTGAACTTTTTCTCATTTCCACGGTTTTGTTGCTTCTAGAGAAAAGAGAGATTTCGAAAAACTGCTAAGGTTCATGCACCAGTTGAAGGTCATATAGAGTGTAGTGACAAAACTGATGAGTTGAAATCAACTTCTTTTGTTATTCCCTTACCTATAGAGATTCCTGGGAATTCAGGGAAGAAGGTCAAGGAATTGAGTCATGAAACCTCCTTTAGAGAAGCTAAGGAGTTTGAATACGAAGGGGAAGATGAGCACGATGAATGCCTTTCAATGAACAGGGACAGTTTTGATTTTGATATTCAAGGCCATCTTGGAAGCATAAATGAGGAATCTGATCGATCAGTTCACAAAAAGATGAATCTTTGTTACAAGCTCAACAATTATGTAAATGATCAGCACCAAAATAAGAAATCTGAGAAAAATGAAGATGTCTTGGAAATCATTAAGACTGGAAACGTTAGTGATCCGGGGATTGGTAAACGAGAATCTTGGACTTGTACAGTACTTAAGCGCTCCTGCTCAGATTTGGCAATGAGGGATACCTTAAAAAAGATTAGTCTGAAGCCGCCACCACCTCCAAAATCCCAGTCATTTGAAGAAATGCAGAGATTAGCTGAGAAGTTGCCTATTGGAAGTCCAGTTTCAGTATCTTCACATTGTAGTGCTGACAAAGTTATGCTGAGAAAACATTCCTCAAGCCAAATCCTACCATCCAGAAGTCGAAAGTTGTGGTGGAAACTCTTTCTATGGAGCCATAGGAACGCAAAAGAAACAAGCAATTGCAAACCACAGCCAATCCCTATTAAAATAACTCTAAGCAAGCAAGGTGGATACTCTTCAGACACTCTAGAACCAGGGCAAGGCATGGACTTAAGCAAGTTGGGATCACATGCTTCATTCACTGGGAAATCGTTGAAAAAGGGGAGCAATAACATCCATGGAGTAACTGGTATGTGGCCACAAAATCAGTGGGTTGCATGCCCTGCTGAATCTTCTACATTCTCAAGAGTTGATGAATGGGTGAAAGAACTTTCTGTTAGTCCACCACACTTAATTGATGAAGATGATGATCACATTGAAGATGACCGTGAGTTCCTACCTTCAGCCCATGCTGGTAAATCAATTGCAAGAAACTCATCGCTCATGATTAGGCGTCCAAATGCAAATGTGCCAGCAGAGATAATACATGCCAACAACGTGATCCAGTCTCTCAATTCATCCTCAACGGTTGCTCACATTGCAGGCATTGGACTTAGAGTTAACCCTGTAATGTCACACTTCTCCAGTCTTCGATCAGTCAATTTATCAGGCAACTCCATAGGTGGGTTATCATGCTTAGTTCTACTAAACGGAAGACAACACTAAAGAAAATGGTTACATGTGACACTCACTGAAAATTGTTTTATGTTTATGTATTGATGCAGTTCAAATAACTCCAGGATCATCGCCAAATGGTCTTCATGTTCTTAATTTATCAAGGAACCAGATTCACACAATTGAAGGTCTCAAGGAATTGACTCGTTTGCGGGTGCTTGACCTCAGTTACAATAGAATTTCTCGGATTGGACGAGGTAAATTTGTACTTCTTTAGACCTCAACCAATTCAATTGTCTTGGCTTCAAAACTCTTGAGTTGATGATTTTGCCTTCAAATTCTATCAGGTTTATCAAATTGTATACTCATCAAGGAGCTCTACATTGCTGCTAACAAAATAAGTTATGTGGAGGGGCTGCATAGGCTTTTCAAGCTGTCAGTTCTTGACCTGAGTTTCAACAAGATAACTACAACTAACGCTCTTCGCCAACTTGTGGCAAACTATAACTCTCTGATTGCTCTAAATCTGTTGGGCAATCCAATCCAGTGCATTAGTGATTACCAACTACGTAAGACAGTGTGCAGTCTTCTTCGGAAGCTAGTTTTCCTGAATAAACAACCTATTAATCCACAAAAGGCACGAGATCAAGCTGTTGCAGAAGCAACACTTGGTAACAGCAGCCGAAGCACTAGTAGCAGAACAAACAGGAAAGTCAATCTTGGAAATTGTGCATCTACCAGGACGCACAGGGGCAGTGCCCTTATTGCTCAAAAGAGTAGGCAAAGGCTAAGAAGCCGAACTCAAAATCAATCTTCCAAGGCCAATTTTTCTTCTCTGGCATCTTCTTGTCGCTAAATATTCTCAAACTCTCTGATAGTGCACCTTATTGTTTCTGGTTTGCTTTTCAATTATTCATTTTAAATAGAGGTTCTTCCTTATTCTTCGTTGCATTCTGGATGTCTGGTTAAACGATAGGTACTCATGATTTTCAATTTCTATTGTTTCCATAAATGATGAGTGTATACCGAGTTATCTTGCTTTTCCAGATCGATTGCATTTCTAGACAAAAGTTAGAAACTGTGAGTGCTGTAAACTCAGCAACTTATCTTGATTCTTGTAACCTACGTAAAAATTAGGTAGATATTGTGAAATACTAGTAGCATTACCGCCGACAAGGCGTGAGTCGGTGGATGCTGTCATATCTTAAATTACAGTAAGGCGCTTGCAGCAGTAGTCCCTATATTCGTATTCATAGTGGGAAAAATAACTTATCTACATATCCAGTGCTTAGATCAACCCATTATTTAAGCTATTATATCTTAATCATAGTTAAGTAATGTAAATCTTGCGTCCTTTTATTACTAACCGCGATAAACTAATATAAACTAATATAGTTTATCGGACACCGCATATGAATGTTTTTCGTGCTCATTGAGCTTCAGTGTGCTTCTAGCAGGGGTGCAACTTCAGAACCTTTCTAATATTTAATCAAATATGTCATGAGCGGCTTTCAAGCCATGCTTCATGACCCCTTGGACGCGCCTCATAGCGTCCTGGCAAGCTTCCCAACGCCTAGCGTCATGGACGGCCCCGTGGTCTTGGTCGCGCCAAGTAATAAGAGTGCCTATACCTACGTCGCCCCATCAATATCCCTCGCCAGCGACCAGCCGCAGACAGATGCCAACAACGCCCCTCGGCAGACTGCACCCTAGTGCATGCCCGTTGTCAGGGCAATCGACCCATACCCTACGACCAGCGCCGCGCGCGCAGACCCTGATGTTAAAGACAAGGTTGCCTCCAACAGACCTGCTTTTGCTTTGTAGGAATCTAAGTCCTTTTTGTTGTAAATATAGAGTAGCTTTACTTCTTGTATTTTCATTATTAGTCTCTAGCTTATTTATGTCAAGTCTTGTAACTTTGGTTTATTATTTTAAGCATTATTAAGGGAAATCAAGCAGTCAAACTTTCAAGCAAGAAAATAATTATTTGTATTGGTTCTCTCCCCCTCGACACCGTGTTACCTTTATGTAATAGCTTTCATTAATTCAATCAAGCTTTCTTTTATTCTCATTCTGTTTTATGCTCTCTAGCGCACACAGGGGACCCTAGTTGGCGGATAGTAATCGCACGGACATCGGTTGTTTAGCCTTACGTCGCCCTTCCAAGACATTTCAGGAAGGCGCCATGTAACAATTGGTATCAAAGCCTAGGCTCGACATCAGACGATGGAACATATTGCGATTGCCACCATTTCTGACCATGGTGAATCATGGGGACCACATTACGTCCCTCGAAGAGACGGTTAACGTATTACAATCCATCGCGAGTACGGTTTTGATCTAAGAATCATCCTAGTTCAAAGGTTAGATGACCTAGACCGTAGGATGCGGCAGGTCGAAGGAGACATAGCAAACATCAGTCGCGGCTCTGAAGGAGACCAGCAAACGGCAGACACAGAGGCAGCCAAAATTTTCAGTAAATCCGAGGGGCTCCAACAGAAGCGGACTGAGGATTTAGCCTATAGGGCACAAGAGGTAGACAGGTGACTGTCATGCAACAAACCATATACAACTTGACAGGCCAACTAAATGTTGTCAACGCTGCGTTACAAGGCCTACTCCGAGGAGCCAAAAACCACATCGGCGGTACTGTGAACCTCGCCCCTGCGCCACAAAAGCTGAAGATTCATGAACCAAAGCCCTACAATAGGGATTAAAATTCTAAGGTAGTGGAACAATACTCGAGGTAGTTAGAAGAAGCAAAAAATATAGCAACTGCTGCCATGTATCTTCAGGGTAATGCTAAACTCTTGTGGCGGGTGAAATACGAAGCCATCTGGGCTAGTGAAGAAACTCTTAAGACATGGGGAGACCTGAAGGTAGCCATACGCCTACAGTTCTTCCCCAAAAACGTAGAGTACAATGCACGGAGAAAGCTCCGGGAGCTCCGCCAGACCAATTCAGTCCGGGATTATGTGCGGGAATTCTCCGCACTCATGGTGAACATTCGGGATATGGGTGACAAAGACAAACTCTTCACATTAGTGGAAGGTTTGAAACCTTATGCCCATATGGAGCTGCAAAGACAAAGGGTAGATACTTCACCCAAGTCAGTCCAAGCAGCAGAATGCCTTGGGGACTACCAAGTGGAAGCTCGAAAGGATAGGCCTCAACCGCCTGTCCGAGGAGGATACAAAGGAGGCCAGCCTAGCAATGATGGAACTAGCAGAAGCGGATGACATCAGAGTGTAACCAAATCTAAGACTCCTTCCTCAGGCAGCAATAGTGTTGCATCTAACAACAATGATCGGGAGAGGAAGCCCCCTTCAGGATGTCATCATTGCGGTGGGCCGTATTGGAAATATGAATACCCGCACGCACAAATGAACGCCCATCAAACTTTTAATGATGGGACGGATAACGACACTGATGATGCTGACCAGACAAAACCAATAGGTGCCTTCAACGCCCTTGTTTGTTCTATTTCTGAGGCCTTAGCTCGAACCACTACCGGCATCTGTAAAAAAAAGGACCCATGCCCAACTACCAAGAAAAGGAAAATGAAGGCGGATGAGGTGCCTCCTCTTAACCAAGAGAAGACATTGATGTTTGTCAAAATGTAAGTTAATGGCAAGCTCATTCGGGCAATGATAGACACGGGTGCTACTTACAATTACTTAGCCTCAACTCAGGTAGAGCGCCTTGGTCTAGTTGTGAGGAAGGGCAGAGGTTGTGTCAAGGCTATCAACTCACCTCCTCAGCTAGTAGGTGGAATAGCCAAAGGAGTGTCAATAAAGCTTGGTCCTTATGAAGGAAAATTCAACTTGCGTGTAGTGATCATAGATGGATTCGAGTTGATAGTTGGATTGGAATTAATGAGGCAAACTAACACAATTCATGTACCTTATGCAGACGTGCTACTGCTAGTGGGAGCAAACGGGGCCAAGCTTTGCATTATTCCATGCACAACCATAAAAATGGCCGCGAAGAACACCTCGGCCTTGTAGTTGAAGAAGGGAGTCAAAAGACATGAACCTACTTTCCTAGCTACCCTCTATATTGAAAATATTGAACGCTCTTTGGGTCCCATTCATGCACCCATGAAAGAACTGCTAAAGGAGTTTGAAGATGTCATGCAACAATACATGCCAAACCGACTCCCGCCTAGGCACACTGTGGACCATGAGATTGAGTTGGTGCCGGGTATGAAGCCACGCCCGGGCGCCTTACAGAATGTCACAACCTGAACTCACCGAGCTTTAGAGACAGTTGACGGAAATGCAGGACACGGGGATCATTGTGCCCTCCAAGTCCCCTCATGGGTACTCTGTGCTATCCAAAAGAAACATGATGGAACCCTATGATTCTATGTGGATTATCGGGCTCTAAATAAAATCACTGTAAAGAACAAGTACCCTATCTCTCTAATGGTGGACCTGTTCGATAGACTGGGTGGTTCTACAGTGTTCACCAAAACAGGCCTAAAGACAGGTTAATGCTAAGTCCGGATTGCTGAGGGAGATCAACACAAGATAACCCGTGTGACAAGATATGGGTCATACGACTTCTTGGTCATGCCATTCGGCTTCAATAATGCTCCAATCACATTTCGCACCCTGATGAACCAAGTATTTCGAGAGTATACTGACAAATTCATAATGGTCTACTTGGATGGCATTGTGGTATATAACAAAACATTGGAGGAGCACCTGGAGCATATGCGGAAGGTCCTAGCTTGATTACGGGAGCACGAATTATATGTGAAGCTATCCAAGTGCGCGTTCGCCCAAAAATATATTGACTTCCTCGGACATGTCATCGAGGAAAGGCAGATCAAGATGGACCAATAGAAGATTCAGGCTGTCATAGATTGGCCGCCGCCTAAGGATATCCATGCCTTTAGGGCATTCCTTATCCTATGCAACTTTTATTGGCGATTTGTGAAAAATAACTCTCTCATTGCATTACCGCTGAAAGAATTCCTAAATAAAGTTAGGCTTTCGGATTAGGGTCCTAGGCGAGCGGAGGCCGCATTGAAAGTGGCTATGTCTAGTAGCCCCATCTTGACCCTTTCTGATATGGCCAAGCCGTTCGAAGTACAAACAAATGCTTTTGACTATGCTCTGGATGGAGTCTTGCTACAAGAGGGGAACCCAGTTGTGTACGAGAGCCAGAAGTTGAACGATGCAGAACGACGCTACGCCGCTCACGAAAATGAATTATCAGTTGTCGTCCACTGCTTATGCCTTTGGAGTTCGTGGTCAAGACGGACAACACAACTGTTAGTCATTTTATGACCCAGCCAAAGCTGAATGGCCGATACGCCAGATGGCAGGAACTCCTAGCAGAATTTCACTTCAACCTGGAGTACCGAAGTGAGAACACTAACCAAGTTGCTGATGCGCTTAGTCGGAGGGCCGACCTAGCATCGGTGTGCCTACTCACCACCCTAAGGGGGAGCAAAATGGCCACCACTATAAAAGACTAGATACAGGATCTATTCATCAAGGATCCTGCTGCATAGTATTTGGTTGATTTTGTAGAACAGGTCAAGACTCGCTAGTTCTACATGGAATATGGGTTCCTGAAAGTGAAAGGGGACTGACTTTATATTCGTAAAGGAAGAGATCTGCGAAGGACTATTCTTCTGGAATGCCACAATATTTTGTAGGCCGGCCAACCAGGTGAAGAATGCACCATGTCGTTGTTGCTCCATGCTTATTATTGTCCTCAAATGGCTGATGATATTGCACAATATGTGAAGACATGCCTAGTATGCCAGAAAGACAAGTCTGACCGCTTGACACAAGCGGGACAATTGGAGCCATTGCTTGTTCCAAAGAGACCTTGGGAAAGCGTGTCACTATATTTCATCACTAAATTGATTAAGGTCGGAGATCTTATAACTATCTTGGTTGTGGTAGATCAGTCTTTGAAATATGCTACATTTA